TTTCCTTTTCAGAAACAACTACCCTTGAAATAACAAAGGTACAGTCTCTTGCCATATTATTAGACTCATGCTGCAAATCTACTTTAACTTTATATTTTTTGTTGTTATTATGAACTTTTTGCAAATAGCGCGAATTGTTGGAGTTTCTCAAAGTTCTGTAAAACGAATTAAACAAAAAATAGACCTCGGTGAAAATCTGAGAGCCAAACGTAAAGGTGCGTGCGGTCTACGGAGAATCACGACAGAGAGAAGTGACCGAAAAATTCGCAATATTTGTGTCGAAAATCGAAAACTGCCGTTAAAAATTCTTACAAAAAAAGTTCTTGAAGCCGGCATTGAAGTTTCGCAAAGAACAGTGCAGCGGAGGTTAGCAGAAGAGGGTCTTATTGGACGTAGACCAGCACGCAAACCAAGACTTACACCTGCTATGATATCAAAGCGATACCAATGGGCACGAAAATACAAGGATTTCACGACTGATAACTGGAAGAACGTAAATAAATGCTATATAACTATATTCAAGTCGTTCTTGTACTGTAGATATTGTTTAATCTAAATTCTATGACGTTTTTCAGGTATGTTTTTCGGACGAGTCGATTTTCCAAGTATCGGTCGACAAATCGCAGTTTGTACGGCGAAGAACAAATGAGAAATATAAGCCAGAATGCATTGTGCCGACCTATAAATATCCTCCTTCGGTAATGGTATGGTCAGTTATCAGCTATAAGGGACAAGGAGCCTTATACGTTGTCGATGGTACAATGAATGCCGAAAAATATCAGGAAGTTTTGGAAACCCAGCTACTCTCTCAAGTGAAAAAATGGTTCAAGAAACGAGAAAAGCCAATTTTTATGCATGATGGTGCGGCTTGCCATGGTGCACAAAAAATTACAAAATTTTTAGCTGAAAAAAAGTAGATATTCTCGACTGGCCAGGAAATTCGCCTGACATGAACCCCATCGAGAACGTCTGGGAGTTTTTGAAATCTGAGGTTACGATGAAAGCCCCTACAACCAAGCAAGAGTTGATCAATATACTTAATGACACTTGGAAACGTAACCCAGAGCTCAAAATAAAAAATCAAAACTGTATAAGCCGTATGCCACGTCGCGTTGAAGCTGTGTTGGCTGCGAAAGGTGGTCATACAAAATACTGATTTTTGCAAAAAAAATGTATTTTCATGTGAAAAGATTCCATTTTCATGTAAATTTCTAATTTTCTATGTGAGATTTGTTGTATTTATAATAAATTTTGATGATTCATCATGGACAAGCTTTGTAAATGTCTACTGGCGTGTTATAAGCCAGGAAAACTTCATTTGTAAGCATGAGTCCAATAATATGGCAAGGGACTGTAATGTGTAGTGAAACGAGGGCGACCAAGTAAAAAAAAATAAAGGAAAAAGTACTCACTCTCCAGTTGACGAGAAGGGCTAAGTACGTCTCTGCCCGAAATCATACCGCTCCAACAGAAAATGAAATCAGTTGATGCGCTACCGAGCAGACGCAGGCAAACAAGGAAGGCAAAATGTTGCGTAAATAGTCTAGGTATTGCATCCCATCCAATCGATTTGGGAGAATAAATGATCCAATGAGCATACCGTTCACCATGCCAGCCCAAACATTCACCGAAAATGTTTGTTGAAAATGTGCCCGACGGACAGCGTGCGGATTTTCTACTGACCAAACATGAGTGTTGCGAAAGTTATTCACCCCATTACGCGTGAACGTAGATTCGTCTGTCACCAATATGCACTTCAAAAAGTCCGGATTATTGTCATGTTGATGCAACAACCAGTCACAAAACCGCACTCTTGCTGGAAAATCGTCAGGTTGAAAGGCTTGTACAGGTTGGACGTGAAACGGATACAGCCCCTCTTCACGCAGCGTTTGCCACGTCTTTAGTGCTTGTTGAGGGATTCTCGTCTACGCGATTACCTCTACACGCGTGACCGTAACCGTCGGTTGAAGGTTGCATACTGACCTGACACACTGACCCCGACCCAGTTCTGTCGTCGGGTTGAGCCAGTGACCTTGTACCAATCGGTGATGTCGCGGGTCGCGGCTACAGGACGGTATTCAGATATGTTTGATGTTGCAGAGCCCTTTATCTCGGTTCCCTTAAGACATTGGTGTATATGGTACTAAGAAAAATTGCTTACGTTTTCAAGATCTACACGTCGTGTAAAGGAAAACCCCAACTTTGCGGACACCCTGTATAAATATTTCTGTTGTAGCAGTGTGTCAGTGACGACACCACCATCGACCAGTTGGAGTTTGTCAGCCAGTTCACAGCCGATTTTTATTTTTTTCATGATTTCCAAACACTACAAAGCTTTTCCATCCTTCGTATAGTAGTAGTCTTGTATGAAAATTTCGTTAAAATCTAAGGCGGTTATAAAATTAGTGGACAGATCGACAGACAGACAGATCGAGGGAAATAACATAACATCCAAAAAACATATCTCAATTTCGAAACTTTCCACGATCACAGTACTTCTTTGCCAGTTTCGGCATCGGAAGCATAAGCGAAAAAGAAACGGGGTTTGAAACAACACTCCTTCCGAAAAGGACTACTTAATACACCACCGTTGAGGTACTGATTGACTTACTTATGGCACATTGAAGACTGGTAACCCAGAGAGTGATTATGGGAGAATTTTTTAATCCATAACGGCTAGCTCCTCGCCGTGGGCTCGAAAAGTTTATGAAATATGTTGGCCGAACCAGCTCCAGCAAAAGCTACGTCCCTGTTTCAGCTTCGACGTTCATTAGCCGCCCTCCCGTCAGGCTGTTGCTGCCAAATGGTTAATATCGCCTGATTTTACAACTTCTGCATAGGAAGGCAATGGAAATATAACGCTTATTAAAATTTGTATACTATTAAAGGCTGCCAGACCGCGAGAGTGCGAGGTCAGGCAAAATATTTATAATCCTGGGATATTAGGAAGCAAGGAAGCTTAGATTCTATACGTAGTTTAATCAGTTGATACTTCATTTTTTTTGTTCGATTTGCCTACGTTCCCACTGTGTACCATAAACATAATTCAGGGTGTAAATATAGTAGTGGATCAACGGAAGTCAGATGATAGAGGGCCCCAAAACTTATCAAATGAACCCCGAAACTTTATAGTTCCCGAGATATTTGCAATTTTGGAAAATTTCGAAAAAACGGGATAATGAATTTTCAATCGCGATTACAACTGAATCGGTGAGTGTAATAACGATATAAGTCCAAAAATACGAATTTGAGATAATCACAAAAAAGTGTTTTGTTTGAAAACTATATAATATACAAGAAATATATACATTGCAAGTTTGTAGACAATTAAGTTCTCTGAACGAATGTAAAGTGAATTATCAATTATATTTTGTAATAAATAATATACATGTCAAAACGTCACTAGGAGTTATACGGTTTTTCCGCCCAACTTTAAACATGCCTCAAATCATGAATTTAATTAGTAAATAAAACTACAAATTAGAATGCTTTTTATTATTTAATGTACATTTAACCTAAATACACTTAGATACGATGAAAAGAACATATTTATGATATACTATAATACAATAAAAATAGTTTTATTAGTCCGCCTCAGTTGCCTCACATTCAGCGTTGGTGGTTTCCCATGAAGTAATATGGTAATAGAATTCCAATATTTCTGACGACATATATTGCAGGACTTTTTTTAGATTATCAATTTTCTTTATATTTATTGGTAATGTCTTTGAATATGCAGGGTTAGTTGGTAAAGTTGGCATGGCTTTAGGTTTGATTAATTTAAAACATTGCGACATAAATCCTCCGATATAGTCGCTAGTGATGAGATATCCAGGTGTAGAACTATCATAAGTAAACTGCGTGTAATTTGATAGTTGGAAATTTGGATTTTATTTCATCTGAAGATTGACAAGTTTTTAATATTTGGGCCACCAAGTTTTGTAATCAGTTATATTTTTATAACATATTGTTGATACAGTAAACGGCTTTACTTTGCGGCAAGAGAGCATCATGTTTTCATAATCTTCTGGAAGATATATACGATCATGTTTTCTCATCACTCTCTTAAGACATCCGAAGTCCCTGTCGCACGGTAAAAAAGAGTGACCTCGCAATGGGAAGTAGTGATAAGTTTTGCGAAATCTTTTTTAAAGCTGCAAGTGCTAATAAATATCTTATTACGGTATTATTCCGGTTTTGGCCCGGGCAACCGTCCGAAAATATGTGCAGCTCTTGAATCTCCGCTGGCATTTTCTGCACATAATCATTGATAAACGTGCATACCTCATTGGGTCCCTTCGCGGCTTGTCCCTCATGGTATGTATAAAAATGTCCAGTATCATTTTTTAAATCGTGTATTTCAAACCCATATAGCCATAGTTGCCTGTAATAAAACATTTCCTGGACAGGTATAACAGGCAGAGGCATATTTTGAATATAGTCAAAAACTATTCCACCAACATCTTCTCGTTCATGGCACAGATCAGTGACTTCCTTTAGCTTTGAGTAAAATTTTTTAGCTCGACGCTTATGAACCATTAATTCGGCAGCAGCAACTCTCTTAGCGTTGTCGTTTAAATTTGAATCCTTAAGTTTTGTTGTTAATTCCTCGCATTGTCCACATACATCTACTTGAGGCCTCCCGAATTTTAATGCAAAATTCTCTTTGAAGAATTTTAAGTAAAATTCATATTTAACTATCTTTGTTAATTCCGGGTGTAATTTTACAAAGAGATTATACATAGTCTTAACGTTAAGATTTGAATCAAGATAGTGAATTTCTTTAGAGCTGTAGTGAGAAGTCCTTCGTGGAAACGATTCAATGTGATGATGGATTTTGGAAGTAACCTGAGGTTGTAATGTATGAGGTCGATTATTATGCGTACCACGTAAATCTCTAGGTGAACTCTGAGACACGAACAATCTATTTAGTCGTTGTAGTCTAGAGTTCGAGATTGAATGTAGATTAAGAAAGGCTGTTTTGCAAACACGTTGTTTCTCTAAAGGTTTTCGTATGTAATAAGAAAAACTCGCTGTCCTGAGTTTTCTCTGGCCTCTTTATTTGGTCGCTTCCTAACGACTGGTTTACATTCCATTAACCCATGTAAATAGACATCTTGTTCGTTTTTTGAACCTTTCTCGTATAATGCCCTCAAAACAGCTTCTTTTTCTTCCATCGTAAATTTAGTCATGCATTTGTTTTTACATCTAAAAAAACAATATAATATTGTTACAAACGATTGTGTTATTTTATAGTAATAAAGCTTACGTGCAATCTGCTTTAACCTCCCTTTTGTTGACTATTTTCCCAGTTTTAGTTGTGTATTGGCTTCCAAGAAGACCAGCTTTCTTCCTTTCATTTCTCTTCCATGTTTCAGGACATCTTTTTTTTCTTTTACGATCGATCATTTCGTATCCGAACTTTCACTGCTAGACATTTTAATCACGTACAATATAAGAGGAAACGCGAAAATGTTAACATAACCTGCAAACAGGGTACGATCGAGCTGAATGCTTACTGACAAACCGTCCAAAATCAGCTGACTGCGCGACATGCGCCATGCGCATGGTTGAGTGGAAAATCAGTATAAAAGCGGGAGTTATATCGTTATTCCACTCAATGCCAAATCTGACCGCTTCGTGGGAGCGTGCACGTAGTGAATATTGTACGCTTTTTCCGCTCAGTAGAAGGATCCTGTGTTGAAGAACATTTTGGCTATCTTGGTTTAAAATGCCTTTTTTTTTAGTTATATCGTTTTTCCACTCACCGTTTCAACTAAACCATTGAGTTTTCTGAGATGAGGTAAATGGTTAGTTTTAGCAATGGTTATGTCACTTTTTAACAGAGCTAATTATAAATCAACGCGAAAAATCTTAAATTAATTTTTTTGTGAAGAATCGCTTCCATCTCTTAACTTTGAAGGGCGGTAAAAAAATTGAGGTTGTGTTTCATTATTCATTTTATTGTAAAAACTATTTCAACCCATGTAGAATAAACCATGAAAATTAGTAGTACCTCACCTTAAGAAATACATACAAAAGAGAAATTCTATTTTACGCGATACAGTCCAAACGACTTGATGGATTTTGTCATATGAAGTATTGTTAGATTCGTCCCAGCAGCCCGAGTGATACTGTGTATACTGGCATTTTGAAACCAAAATAACGGATTTTTTACGCAAATATCCAAATCAGCTTAACGAGCCTGGCCAGTCATCTCGGCATTTCAGGTACGGGAGCGTTCAATCTTCGGTCCAACCGAAATTACTAAGGCAATGGTCCAGCGTAGAATTTGTATATGTATATATATATAGGTAAAAACTAAAGCTCCCGCCTTTTGTTGGGTACTTCGACAAAATTTAAGCAAGGAGGACTCTTTATACCTTTTTAATCTCTCTAGCTTTCAATGGACTTTGCCATCATCATCAGGAGCTGCAATTACATTGATGAAAGCTTTAATTATCACCTAACTGGTCTAGACGACAATGACCACGTCTCAAGTTATATATATACAATTAATTGTTAATTGAAAAATTGGCAAACCTTTTAGGCTTTAGTTAACTCTTCTGATGGTAATCTCTAGCTTTCGGCAATCCGGTATGGAGCCTTCATCAGGAGCTGAAAACACAACTATGATGCTAGCAACCAAGACAGGAAAGATATAAATTGTCAAACAACTTACTCGTCGTTGAGGTTGCAGCCAAATGGTGTTTCAAAACGAACGCGGGGATGAGAGCACTTGTTACAAATATGAAACCAACCGGACGGACACATTGGGCTTATTGATAACGACGGATACCTTCGTTAGGTGTTAATACCATAAATCAATACACGAGAAGCAATTTTGGGGACAAAACCGGAACGTCGTTTCTAAACTCCTACATCCGCTTCACGTGGAGTTGATGGACGGAACGGAAAGGTGATGCGTCGACAAATGACGTGATTGTCGCGACGGATTGTGGAACTATAAACATCATTGCCAAATTTGAGTATAATGTACACGAGGGACGCTCGGTAGAACCTCATCCTAATTACCAAAATGCTGAATTAAATTTGTTCTGAACAAAAGTGTAGTTCGTATGAGTGTACAAGTGTAAGATAGTGATACACACTTGAGAAGATGGGTTGTGTAAATTTGTATTAAATTTTTTCTTATTATGACTTGCGTAAGTGAAATGTTTCAATTAACAGGATAAACAATTGGAAATGTATTTTAATTTTGGGACGACGTTAGATCGACTGGTATATGTAGCAGTTCTAACTTTTCAACAACTAGGAAATAAATGACACTGAGCTGCTTAACATCAGCCTTTTTATTCATGCTATGTTCTGTCATGAAAATGTGGGACATTTCTAAAAACAGATTTTTTCAGAGTTTTATTTTGTTTGTCAAGAACCTCAATACTGCCATAATTCATAGAGTGACCTGTAATGTTAGTATGTGATGCCAAATCACGTCTCTCTGGATGTAATCTGGCGTCACTTTTGTGTGAGGTTATCCTGCCTTTCAGTGATCTCGATGTTTGGCCCCTATAACCTAAATTACAGTTGTTGCAATTAATGCGATAGACAGTGTTGATTGAATCAAGCAACTGAACAATATTCTTCATTTTGGAAAACAAACTGTTGACTGTGAGCACTGATTTACAAGCAAACCGATAATTAAAGGAATTATACAGCCTGATCGATTTTGGTGTTAATTCTTTGATGTGTGGCAAGACAACATAATTAACTCTGGATATAGAAGCATCCACTGTAGTGTTGTTATTCTCATTAGTTAAAGAGTTCATGCGCGTTGGGTTAGACAGGACAGACAGTGTTGTCATTTTCACTATTGCTATTCGCAATTGGCAAAATATTCGGAGGAGCGCTGAAAAAGATTCTGTTAACCAAATACTTCGGATAACCATTAGTAATGAATAAGACTGAAAGCTTCCTTAAATTGGAAAGATGGAAAGTATTGTCAGAGATTTTTATTACCCTGTCCTTCATTTGTTTCACCAGGTTTATTTTTAAGTTCATGGTAAGACCTTAAATTCAGGAACCTTGCAGAGGAAATTGGTTTCCTGTACCAGTCTACCAGTAATATATTGTCGTTGGTGCGAATCAATCTTGAATCCAAAAAGGGAACTGATTGATAGTCATCTTCTTTTTCGATGGAGAACTGAATGTAGGCATCATAACTGTTAAAAGCTTCAACAATATCATCCACCCTTTCATAAGAAAGACAAACGATAATATCGTCCACATATTTTTTTATGAAGATTGGATTGTCTGGCAATACCAGAATAACGATATCAAGCAGGTCATCCATCACATATTCTGCCAAAATTGGAGATAAAACAGAGTCCATGGGGCAACCACGTGTTTGTGAGAAAACTTTGTTATTAAAAGTGAAATAATTATTCTGGAAAATGTACTCTAAGACAAAGGTAAAAAAAGTTCTCAGCTCCTGATGAAGGTTCCTTAAAAAATTGCCGAAAGCTAGAGATTATCGTCAGAAGAGTTAACTAAAGCCTAAAAAGTTTACCAATTAATTGTATTTTTTGCCTAGCTGGTCGTTGGCAATGGCAATGACTACTGCTCATATATATATATACGTATATATACAGGGTGACTTTGAAGTTGAGTCATTAATTTTCAGATAATAATTGCAGAAGGAAGATAAACCAAAATATGTGTGTAAAAATAAAAAAAAAATAAAAAAAAATGTTACCTTGTTTTATAAAGTATCTTCCCGACAAGTATTTCAGTGCGGACCGTATTTGATCGTGAGGTCTTGGAGCACCGGCATGCCCTCCCCTGTGAGGTCTTAAGTCACCTGATTCACGAGTCCGTTGTACTACATTAACAAAGGCACGAGGGGTTGGTTGCACTCGATTGGGAAACCGATCCGCATAAACATGTGCCATTTTTTATTTCGTTTGAGCCACGTAGCAAACACCACTATTCACTCACGCGTTAGCGACTGACACAGACTGAATAAAAACATCGTGATCAGCGTTTCAAATTCTTTCGCTGTTTTGTTTCCGATGCGATGAACCGATAAGGCGGATTATATCCGTTGTTGCCAAACACGAGCACATAATATTATTATTGAGACAGTGCGGTACTCAAACTTCTAAAGGGCTATAAATTTGTTACTTTAATTTTACCACAAAAATGTTAAAGGAAAAAAACATTTCTTTTGATCAGATCTACTCACTGTTAAAATAAATGACTCATATATATAATATTTGTTACATATAATAGTTGAAAATGAAGGCCAGGTAGTGAATCCTTAGTCTTGACAGTGGTTTAAGTTGATTGTACTATAGTAGGGCTGGTTGCCATGTCGGAAGTATGTTAATTAGGATGGTCGAATAAATAGCACTCGCTGCTCCGTGCTGGCGCTGGCGTTAGCTCGACGCTAGCAGCTCGCTAGAGAGAAGATTGCGGCTGTGAAATGTGATTATCTGAAGGGGGGTTTTATGTGCCAGAAGGGGGAAATATGGAAAAGATTTAAAGACTGTTGACTTTGCAACGTGCTCGACGACGCCTCCGCCGTAATGGCCGTTTCACATTAGCCAGTTATCTGGAGAGTATTTTAGGTGGCGTCTATAGTATCTTGGAAGTTTTATTGCGTTTCGAGGTGTTATAAAATGTTGAAAAATCTGTATACTGCATCGGCCAGGGTTGTTTAGATCTCGTTGTGTCTCTTGTAGGTTCGTCCCAGAGGTTACTTGGACTAGATGAGCATGAGCAATCCTAAGATATTAGAGGAAAATTTACTTTGCATTGGCCATAAAATGACAATACTCCTAGCTGGCTCTTAAGCGACTTCATCTCTGACGAGGAAACTCTAAGTTATCACTGACTTGGCACACAGATACCTGGTACAGGTTAATGCTTCCAAAGCACAGCATTGCACCTTGACTAACGAGAAGGCTAAAAATCACCGAGGACTTCATTTGGGATGGAGGGATCTCGTCAATCGCAACTGCTTCAGGGTTCAAGTTGGTTGTACAATAAAAATAATAATTTATCCATCTGACACCACTATGTATATACTATATAGCTTATGTTGAATTCGACATATCGATTAGTTAAATGAATTCAACAACTTAAAAACATATAAAGACATATTAAACAGTAACACTGGATGATCTGCTGCCTTTGCAATATTTGGCCTTCACATTTCCTAGTGTAAAAGGATGTGTACATCCTTA